CCCCTCGCGCCTTAACTATCTTGTATCCTCTCCCGCGATTTTCCCCTGCTTTTTTTTTGTCGCTAGGAGGAGCCCGGGTTCTTCCCAGCGCTTTCTCTAGAAGAGGGAGAAGCCGTGACCGTCAATCTCGGCCAATCACCGTTCGCGCACCCACCTCCCGACGGTTTCAAGGCCGTCATCGCCGCTAGGTTAGGGGGAGGGGCGGCGTCCGTGGCGGCGCGGGGGGCACAAGCCAATGTTGGCACGACAGCGGAGGGAGACGCGGAGGGGGAAGAGGGGGGGGGTCCCCGGGCGCCGGTGGACCTGGAGAAGTTTTCGTGTGCCACTGATCTGGCGGCTAGGTTTGGCCCGAATCGGCTCAAGGTGCGCGGATGTTGAGTGCATTTGTTGTTGCATGTTTGCTGTCCAGGGTGGTGCTTCTACAACCGTAGCTTGTTGCAGCAGTAGTAGCTGGCCAGAAGTTGTATGCCGGATCGGCTCTAGGTTTCAGCCTTCGGCAAGTCCTTGCGTGTTTTACAGTGCTCTCTTGTTCGTGGTGTACTTGAAGACGTAGATGCAGAAACAAGGGAATATCACAAGAAGGGAAAAGCCGTGATTAATCCTATCTATGATCTACCGGAGCTGAATCACGCAATATAGTAAAGGTATAGTCCGTGCACACCACAAAATCCAAAATTTTCCCAGCACAAATGACAACTTTTCTCTGCCCACAGTTGGTTGTTCCGAAATCTGCAAGTACCGGAAAACGCCCTGTTTGCAGGCGCATCGCGTGACGGAGAGTTTTTTTTTTTTTCTTGACTTTTTATCGGAGCAAAACCGGAAAAACTTGAATTGTTTTCGCAGGGGTGTGTTCTTTGCCGATTCGACAAAACTCAACGGATTTGAACAGATGTCGGGATTTGCCAGGTCGGTATTTTTTTTTTGGTCAAAATATTGTAAATTCACGGAGATATCAGAGAAAAACCGGATCTAGAGGGCTAACTTGTATTGTTTTTCGGGGGATAACTAACCGACCGATTTC